GGATTAATTTTATTTCCATTATTTCTTATGGGGAAAATTCATTCACATAGCGAACATTTCGCATAACAGCCAGCCCTCTTGCACAGGTTAAGGTCGCTATGCGGGGGTCCACTGTATATGGAATAGGTGGTAAGTTACTAAATGCTGTAAAGAGTTTTTATGAGGATAGTGAGGCTCAGGTTAGGGTGTGTAGAAGAGAGGGAGACTACTTCCAGGTAAAAGTAGGTCTTAGACAGGGATGTGTAATGTCACCATGGTTGTTTAATGTATTTATAGATGAGGTTGTAAAAGAAGTAAATGCTAGGGTATTTGGGAGAGGGGTGGGATTAAATTATGGGGAATCAAATTCAAAATGGGAATTAACACAGTTACTTCTTGCTGATGATACTGTGCTTATGGGAGATTCTAAAGAAAAATTGCAAAGGTTAGTGGATGAGTTTGGGAGTGTGTGTAAAGGTAGAAAGTTTAAAGTGAATATAGAAAAGAGTAAGGTGATGAGGGTATCAAATGATTTAGATAAAGAAAAATTGGATATCAAATTGGGGAGGAGGAGTATGGAAGAAGTGAATGTTTTCAGATACTGTACTTGGGAGTTGACGTGTCAGCGGATGGATTTATGAAGGATGAGGTTAATCATAGAATTGATGAGGGAAAAAAGGTGAGTGGTGCATTGAGGTATATGTGGAGTCAAAAAACGTTATCTATGGAGGGAGAGAAGGGAATGTATGAAAGTATAGTAGTACCAACACTCTTATATGGGTGTGAAGCTTGGGTGGTAAATGCAGCAGCGAGGAGACGGTTGGAGGCAGTGGAGATGTCCTGTCTAAGGGCAATGTGTGGTGTAAATTTTATGCAGAAAATTCGGAGTGTGGAAATTAGGAGAAGGTGTGGAGTTAATAAAAGTATTAGTCAGAGGGCAGAAGAGGGGTTGTTGAGGTGGTTTGGTCATTTAGAGAGAATGGATCAAAGTAGAATGACATGGAAAGCATATAAGGGGGATATGAAGGTCAACACATGAACTTTTTTATTTTTCGTTCGATTTCTTTCATTTTTTTTGTACGTAAAGAAGCACCTTTCAATAGTAATGTGACCAAGTTTCAATAAGATAGCTCAAAAAACAACTGAGAAAAAAATTATTTACTAATAATCATACATATTGCAAGGTACCGTCGAAGTGGGACTTGGAGAAGTTGTTTTGGCATTATCTACGCATAAAACAATGCTAAACTGTATCTCTAGCGGTTAGATGTTCTGTAATTTATCCTTTCTTCATTCTTAAAAAAAATAAATTTTGTATGTTTTTTGACTTTCAGCCAAATATCTGACTTTTGCCCTCACATAAATCAAAAACAAATTATGATATTTCAAAAAGCGATCCACTAGCTTGTAAAACAATCTTTCCTTTATGTTCTCTGTGAATTTCATTACATTCCTGCTATTATTAACGAAGGTACTTGCTCATATATGTGAATAACTTACTTCCGAGATAATCCGCGAAACAGCCGGACCACCTTTTTTTTTTTTTTTTTTTCGAGAAAATAACATTTTTCTCAGTCTTATACTGCATTACGAGTGTATATCATAGTTAACCATGTTCGTTTTCTTTAATATAAGGACCCTGGAGGTGAGAGAAAGAGAATGGAAGCCCCTCTCTGAGAATGGGAATCTATTATTCCCGATGGAGCGCTCTGGGAATATGCCATATATTATTCATTCTGGAGTATTTACCATACTTCTTTGTTATTTATATTGTTTATTATGTCATATTAGATCAATTGTGATAGATAAATAAGCCGTAGAAGCTATAATAGCGTTATATTTAGCCATATTCCCCGGCCACCCCGAGACTGGAATTTTCCATGACGTCAGCAAAATGGTGTCGGGAGGTTCCTGGTTGGTTGGAACTCTACGTATAAATCCCGCCCAATGTATTATGATGCCAAATCGTCAATTATTATCTTAGAAAGAATAATACAGTAAATACACGAAAAAAAAACGGAAAAAAAAAAAATAAATTGACGACAGGTGAGCACACCTGCCGCGGGTGGTGACGTCACCCTAGGTGTATTTAAATGACCATAATTCCTTGTAGGAATGTCGTAGAACAATGATTCTGGTACCATTGTGTTGCCAGAGAGTTAAGCTATTTTTCTATAAGATTAACTCAGTTTGTGAATTTTTTCGATAAAATTTTTCGTTCGCGCTGAGTGAGTCTAATTCCCCCTATAAATCTATAGGGAAAGGAAGGCGAGGTAGGGGTCGTCCTCGAAAGGGTTGGAGAGAGGGAGTAAAGGAGGTTTTGTGGGCAAGGGGCTTGGACTTCCAGCAAGCGTGTGTGAGCGCGTTAGATAGGAGTGAATGGAGATGAATGGTACTTGGGACCTGACGATCTGTTGGAGTGTGAGCAGGGTAATATTTAGTGAAGGGATTCAGGGAAACCGGTTATTTTCATATAGTTGGACTTGAGTCCTGGAAATGGGAAGTACAGTGCCTGCACTTTAAAGGAGGGGTTTGGGATATTGGCAGTTTGGAGGGATATGTTGTGTATCTTTATACGTATATGCTTCTAAACTGTTGTGTTCTGAGCACCTCTGCAAAAACAGTGATTATGTGTGAGTGTGGTGAAAGTGTTGAATGATGAAAGCATTTTCTTTTGGGGGATTTTCTTTCTTTTTTGGGTCACCCTGCCTCTGTGGGAGACGGCCGACTTGTTGAAAAAAAAAAAAGTGTTGAGTATACCTGGTAAAGTGTATAGTAGAGTTATTATTGAAAGAATTAAGAGTAAGACGGAGAATAGGATAGCAGATGAACAAGGAGGCTTTAGGAAAGGTAGGGGTGGTGTGGACCAGGTGTTTACAGTGAAACATATAAGTGAATAGTATTTAGATATGGCTAAAGAGGTTTTTGTGGCATTTATGGATTTGGAAAAGGCGTATGACAGGGTAGATAGGGAGGCAATGTGGCAGATGTTGCAGGTGTATGGTATAGGAGGTAGGTTACTGAAAGCAGTGAAGAGTTTTTACGAGGATAGTGAGGCTCAAGTTAGAGTATGTAGGAAAAAGGGAGATTATTTCCCAGTAAAAGTAGGCCTTAGACAAGGATGTGTGATGTCACCGTGGTTGTTTAATATATTTATAGATGGGGTTGTAAGAGAAGTAAATGCGAGGGTCCTGGCAAGAGGTGTGGAGTTAAAAGATAAAGAATCACACATAAAGTGGGAGTTGTCACAGTTGCTCTTTGCTGATGACACTGTGCTCTTGGGAGATTCTGAAGAGAAGTTGCAGAGGTTGGTGGATGAATTTGGTAGGGTATGTAAAAGAAGAAAATTAAAAGTTGATACAGGAAAGAGTAAGGTTATGAGGATAACAAAAAGATTAGGTGATGAAAGATTGGATATCAGATTGGAGGGAAAGAGTGTGGAGGAGGTGAATGCATTCAGATATTTGGGAGTGGATGTATCAGTGGATGGGTCTGTGAAAGATGAGGTGAATCATAGAATTGATGAGGGGAAAAGGGTGAGCGGTGCACTTAGGAGTCTGTGGAGACAAAGAAATTTGTCCTTGGAGGCAAAGAGGGGAATGTATGAGAGTATAGTTTTACGAACGCTCTTGTATGGTTGTGAAGCATGGGTGATGAATGTTGCAGTGAGGAGAAGGCTGGAGGCAGTGGAGATGTCATGTCCGAGGGCAATGTGTGGCGTGAATATAATGCAGAGAATTCGTAGTTTGGAAGTTAGGAGGAGGTGCAGGATTGCCAAAACTGTTGTCCAGAGGGCTGAGGATGGGTTGTTGAGGTGGTTTGGACATGTAGAGAGAATGGAGCGAAACAGAATGACTTCAAGAGTGTATCAGTCTGTAGTCGAAGGAAGGCGGGGTAGGGGTCGGCCTAGGAAAACTTGGAGGGAGGGGGTAAAGGAGGTTACACAAATAACCCGCACATAAAAGAGAGAAGCTTACGACGACGTTTCGGTCCGACTTGGACCATTGACAAAGTCACACTAACCAGAGGTGGAGCAGGACGGCTATATATAGGCAGGAAGAGGTGGTGGTAGTAGTAGTAGTACAAGAGTTGTATATAATACCGACAAGATGAAATTATGACACATGCACAACATCCGGGCATCCCCATCATAGACGTTTCACCATCCAGCCAGCCACTGGATGGCGAAACGTCCACAACAAAGGCAACCAGACGCCGCACATGTGTCTTAAGACACATGTGCGGCGTCTGGTGTCTTAAGACACATGTGCGGCATCTGGTTGTCTTTGTTGTGGACGTTTCGCCATCCAGTGGCTGGCTGGATGGCGAAACGTCTATGATGGGGATGCCCGGGTGTTGTGCGTGTGTCTTAATTTCATCTTGTCGGTATTATATACAACTCTTGTACTACTACTACTACTACTACTACTACTACCACCACCACCTCTTCCTGCCTATAGACAGCCGTCCTGCTCCACCTCTGGTTAGTGTGACTTTGTCAATGGTCCAAGTCGGGCCGAAACGTCGTTGTAAGCTTCTCTCTTTTATGTGCGGGTTATTTGTGTATCGTTCCAGTCACGGTATTGTGCCTTTTTTGTTATTTGGGTAAAGGAGGTTTTGTGTGCAAGGGGCTTGGACTTCCAGCGGACATGCGTGAGAGTGTTTGATAGGAGTGAATGGAGACAAATGGTTTTTAATACTTGACGTGCTGTTGGAGTGTGAGCAAAGTAACATTTATGAAGGGGTTCAGGGAAACCAGCAGGCCAGACTTGAGTCCTGGAGATGGGAAGTACAGTGCCTGCACTCTGAAGGAGGGGTGTTAATGTTGCAGTTTAAAAACTGTAGTGTAAAGCACCCTTCTGGCAAGACAGTGATGGAGTGAATGATGGTGAAAGTTTTTCTTTTTCGGGCCACCCTGCATTGGTGGGAATCGGCCAGTGTGATAATAAAAAAAATAAAAATAATAATTATTTTATATTTTTTATTTGAGAATTTTTTTTAAGATCATGTTTTCTTTGTATTTCAGATAACATATGCGTCGATTCAATGAGTATCAACATTAATAGAAAGGTATTGGACAAGGCTAAAACATGTGTAACCAACCTTAATGAACATATACAAAGGTTAGTAAATTCTTCACACTTTATTAAGTAGTAACAGAGTATACTATACATAAATTATCATTAGTTACCAAAGGAAGCACAGACAGTGAAGCAGTGGATCACTACTGGAATCATACACATTTATGCCATCACTGAATTAAATAATTTTTTTAATTTTTAAGTGAAATAGGCATTATTATATTTTTGGTATGTATGGTGAGGTTTCCAGTCAACAGTTTAGTGACATTGTACAAGGCCAGATGGCAGCTCCTAGGCCAAGAGAGTTACCCCCCTTTGAATGATTATTTGACCCTAAGCAGTACTGACTGTCAGTGGAACGCCTTCCATCTGAACAAAATACTAATGGAAAAATAAATATATAAAAAAAAACGACTCTTGGAAAAATAAGGATAATGACTTTTGAGAATTTTACTTAAAATTTAAATATAATAAAAATGGCCTCTGGTTCTGGTGCTGTAGTCGGGCAGGAGTAGGTAAGGCCCTGGACAGATCTCTGATGTTAATGATGTAGGTTATCCTGGGCGGATGGTAACAGTCCGATGATTTGGAATCTCCTCTACCACTTGGTTGGAGCACCACAAGTAGAACAGGTAAGGGCCGGTAGTAGTCGAATAATGTTAATAAGTCCAATTAACAAGTGCCTTGCTCCTTTATCTGGCGTCTATCCTGGATGACCATGCCAGGAACAGAGCTGGTAATAAGAAAAAATAAACTGGTTACCAATGGTTATGATAATATAACATTTAAGAATGAAAAGGAGTGGTAAATGCCAAAATCATTACTGGTAACCAGCAAACAAAAGAAAGCACGAACAGTAAAACTCCTGGTAGACCACCTTATCTGATCAGGAGAAGAGTGGAGGTGAAGTGACTCTCCAAACTTCAACCCACACCAGGTAAGGTCAATACTACCAGGAGTAGAAATTGAAACAAATCAGACACCAGGAACTAGAATTTCGCCCCAGCCCGCTACGGGGGGGGGGGGGGTGCACGACGTAACTCGCTAATGGTTCCTGGTTGCCTGAACAACCCTTACCCCACTTACACCCACTTTTCCCTCACACTGACCAGCTAATCAATATAGCAGGGTCAGTGTGAACCTCTAATTTAATTTTTTCCCTTACCAAAGACAAGACAGGACTCAATCACATCTCACAACCGATAGTTAAAAAGGCAAGACAGAGAACTGAAGCTCAATTCCACGAACTTAAATAGGTACTACATGTTATCCACCATGGAGCTGGAGCTTCAGGGCAAACGTTGCTTCAAAATAAATGACAAGGGGGAGTTTATGGATCTTCATGCATGTCAGACACATGGGAACAACATTTAGTTGAGTTGCTTTTTAGAACAGGTTGTGACAGAACCAACTAGAGGAAACAATCTGCTAGACTTGGTTCTTGCCAACAAAGATTCACTAATTAATAATCTTGAGGTTAATGATGAGCTTGGGGAAAGTGATCACAAATCACTTAGTTTCAATATATCATGGAATTACCCAGATAACTGCAATCAAATCTCTCTCCCAGATTTTCACTTGGCCGACTTCATGGGACTGAAAAATTACCTGGGTGGGCTAAATTGGGATGTCCTTACTATGGGTCAGGTAGGTGATCTTGGTTGCCAATATGACGTTTTTCAGAGCATAGTTCTAGCTGCCCAGACAACTTTTGTTCCAAGTAGGGAAATTAGATCTAACAAAAGTGATCCCAAACGGATGAACAATAGATCAAAACATCTCATTGGTCAAAAGAGAGGCATATATAGGCATATCAAAAGAGGGGATGGGCAGTTAAGAAATCAATATATTCAATTAAAGAGAGAAATAAAGAAAGGAATAAGACAAGCAAAAAAGGGATTATGAGGCTAAGGTCGCAAAGGATTTAAAGACTAACCCAAAAGGGTTCTTTCAGGTATACAGAAGTAAGATTAGGGACAAGATTGGCCCACTTAAGAGTAACTCTGGTCAGATCATTGACAGTGATAAGGATATGTGTGAAATTCTCAATACTTACTTTCTCTCAGTTTTCACCCAGGAAAATACTAGCTATATTCCTGAAATAATAGATTATATAGAACAGGATGATAATAAACTATGCACGATTCCAGTAACTAGTGACATGGTCCTCAGACAAATAGAGAAACTAAAACCTAACAAATCCCCAGGCCCTGATGAACTGTTTGCAAGGGTGTTAAAGGAATGTAAAGTGGAACTTAGCATACCTTTGGCTAATCTTTTTAACATATCACTACAAACTGGCATAGTGTCTGATAAGTGGAAAATGGCAAATGTAATACCTATTAACAAGGCAGGTGACAGGTCCTTGGCTTCGAACTATAGACCAATAAGCCTTACCTCCATAGTGGGAAAATTTATGGAATCAATAATTGCCGAAGCAATTCGTAGCCATCTTGATAGGCACAGATTGATTAATGAATCTCAACATGGTTTTACAAAGGGGCGTTCCTGTCTTACGAATTTAGTAACTTTTTTTACTAAGGTGTTTGAGGAGGTAGATCATGGTAATGAATGTGATATTGTGTATATGGACTTCAGTAAGGCTTTCGATAGAGTTCTACACCAGAGGCTATTGAAGAAACTTAAGGCACATGGAATAGGAGGAGAAATTTTTTCCTGGGTAGAGGCATGGTTGACAAATAGGCAGCAGAGAGTTTGCATAAATGGGGAGAAATCAGAATGGGGGCACGTCACAAGCGGTGTTCCTCAGGGGTCAGTGTTGGGCTCGTTGTTGTTCACAATTTACGTAAACGACATAGATGAGGGAATAAATAGCGACATAAGCAAATTTGCTGATGACACCAAAATAGGCCGTCCAATTCATTCTAATGAGGACACTAGAGCACTCCAGGATGATTTGAATAGACTGATGCAATGGTCGGAGAAGTGGCAGATTCAGTTTAACCCTTTCAGGGTCCAAGGCCCAAATCTGGAGTCACGCACCAGTGTCCAAGAATTTAAAAAAAAAAAATTTGTTATTTTTTCTTATGAAATCGTAGAGAATCTTTTTGTGAAGGTAATAAAACAAAAAGTACGAAATTTGGTGGAAAATTGACGAAATTATGCTCTTGCGAATTTTGATGTGTCAGCGATATTTACGAATCGGCGATTTTGCCGACTTTGACTCCCATTTTAGGCCAATTACATTATTCCAATCAACCAAATTATTAGCTATTTCACTAGTATTACTTCTATTCTATCGATTGAGCACAAGAAATCGCCAAGTCAACTGTTTCAACTACAAAATAAAGTGATCGGAAATTGTTAATTTGGCCAATTTAACACAAAGTTCAAAATATTCCAATTTCAAAATAGGGTCCAGAATAAACAATGTAGGCATTCCTGGCACTAAACTAACATTTCCTCTGTTCATTAGTCATGTTTTGAGGCTTTACAAATAAATTCCATTTTGATTTTTTATTCACATAATGAATTTTTATTCACACCAAAAAATAGAAGATTTACTGCTATGCAATACTGTAATAATTGTATAAATATCATCACCATATTTGTGAATGTATATTAGACCCACCAGCTGACGTGTATTAGACGTGTGAGGTCGTTTGTTTACTCTTGAATATCGGCAAAAATTTAACATTTCCGCTACTTTGAGCTCAGTTTCAAGCCATTTCCAGTGCTAAAACCAATCAAAATCATCTCTATTTCTGTAATATGTCTTCCATTCTATCAAATGAGACCAAGAAATCGCAAATACAACTATAAAAAACATACGAAAAAACACTGCAAAGTTGCTGTTTTAATCAAAAAATCATGATTTCAGTTTTTTTCTCTCATTATACACAGTGTGCTGCAGGATCTGTTTTATGTGGTGCACACATACCACATAGATGTATTCTCTCATATCTAGGCCCAAATGTACCACTCACAGTTTATCAGAGTGAGCTGAGCTCATGGCGTAGATCTACGGTTTGGACACTCACCATAAAGCCGTAGATCTACGGGACGGACCCTGAAAGGGTTAATATTGACAAATGCAAAGTTCTAAATGTTGGACAGGTAAATAACCATGCTACATATAAACTAAATAATGTAGTTCTTAATACTGCTGATTGCGAAAAGGATTTAGGAGTTCTGGTTACCAGTAATCTAAAATGAAGACAACAGTGCATTAGTGTTTGCAATAGAGCTAACAGAATTCTTGGCTTCATATCTAGAAGTGTAAATAATAGAAGTCCTCAGGTTGTTCTTCAACTCTATATATCCTTGGTTAGGCCTCATTTAGACTATGCTGCTCAATTCTAGTCACCGTGTTACAGAATGGATATAAATACTCTGGAAAACGTAAGGAGGAGGATGACGAAGGTGATCCCATGTATCAGAAATCCTCCCTATGAGGATAGACTGAGGGCCCTGAATCTGCACTCTCGAAAGGCATAGAATTAGGGGGATATGATCGAGGTGTATAAATGGAAAACAGGAATAAATAAAGGGGATGTAAATAGTGTGCTGAAAATTTCCAGCCAAGACAGGACTCGCAGCAATGGTTTTAAGTTGGAAAAATTCAGATTCAGGAAGGATATAGGAAAGCACTGGTTTGGTAATAGAGTTGTGGATGAGTGGAACAAACTCCCGAGTACAGTTATAGAGGCTAAAACATTGTGTAGTTTTAAAAATAGGTTAGATAAATACATGAGTGGGTGTGGGTGGGTGTGAGTTGGACCTGACTAGCTTGTGCTGCTGGGTCTGGTGCCGTGCTCCTTCCTTGAGTGGAGGTGACTAGACTGGGTGGGTGATTGGGCTAATCCGGGGGGGGGGGGGACATGTACCTGCTCCGCATGGGTCAGTAGGCCTGTTGCAGTGTTCCTTCTTTCTTATGTTCTTATGTTCTCACTGATGTGGTTAAAACATATTTAGGGAGCTCATAAGATATTCATCAAAATATTAAATACTGACAAGTTTATTGTAAAAGCCAATATTTTGAAATCTGTAATACTTAAAGAAAGAAAATTTCTAGAGGATAATATAAGGCATATAATGGAGCAAGGGGCTGTTAACCCCTTCTCCTGTATACATTACTAAATTTAAAAAGAGAAACTTTTGTTTTTCTTTTTAAGTCACCCTGCCTCGGTGGGATACGGCTGATTTGTTAAAAAAAAAAAAAAAAGAGGTATGTAAGGTTTACCTTGATAGATTAGTTTTAAAAAAAAAGAGGTATGTAAGGTTTACCTTGACAGATTAGTTTTAAAAACCATGAGGATTCAGAGCTTAATCCTAATATAATTTTCTTGCAGGATCAAAGAGTCAGATAGTAACAGACTCCAGGAAGAGTATAACCGGCTAGTAGCTGGTCTCCGGCATGCTGCCAGTAACCAAGAAGTTATCGCTAGTCCTGTCTTACCAAAAGATCTTCTGGAAGGTTAGCAGTTCACATGAATTTTTTTGTTCAGTATTATAAATTTTTTGCTAAAAGTGTATAGTACAGTACAGTACTTTCATACTAAACAACTGGAAAATAACGCACGATGAAAAGGTAGACTGTAGAGAAGATGAATGGATATAGTAAATAAATTGTTAAAAGAAAACATTGTTACTGGGAAAATGATAAGGATTGTGTTAATTTTTCAGTCTGTGAGAGTAAATAGCTATGCATGACTACTCATACATATCAGGTTTGTGTGTTCATAGTTTGAAAGTTGAGGATAAACATGAGGGGGGGTGGAATGGCTATATCACACAAACTAACCATCCCATCTTAATGTGGTAAATATATTAAATGAAAATAATGTAAAGTAGAAAGATGAAAGTGAACATAGGTAAGAGTAAAGTGATGAGGGCATCAAATGATTTAAATAAAGAAAAATTGGATATCACATTGGAGGGAGGGAGTATGGAAGAAGTGAATGTATTCAGATATTTGGGTTTATGAAGGATGAGGTTAGCCATGGAATTGATGAAGGAAAAAAGGTGAGTGGTGCTTTGAGGTATCTATGGAGACAAAAAACATTATCCATGGAGGGAAAGAAGGGAGTGTATGAGAGTATAATGGTCCCAACACTCTTATATGGGTGTGAAGCATGGGTTGTAAATGCTGCAGGAAGGAGGAGGCTAGAGGCAGTGGAGATGTCGTGTCTAAGGGCAATGTGTGGTGTAAATGTTATGCAGAGAATTTGTAGTGTGGAAATTAGGAGGAGGTGTGGAGTTACTAAAAGTATTAGTCAGAGGGCTGAAGAGAGGTCGTTGAGGTGGTTTGGTCATTTAGAGAGAATGGAACAAAGTAGAATGACTTGGAGAGAGTATAAATCTGTAGGGGAAGGAAGACGGGGTAGGAGTCATCCTAGGAAAGGTTGGAGGGAGAGGGTAAAGGAGGTTTTGTGGGTGAGGGGCTTGGACTTCCAGCAAGCATGTGTGAGCGTCTTAGACAGGAGTGAATGGAGATGAATGTTTTTTGGGACCTGACGAGCTGTTGGAGTGTGAGCAGGGTAATATTTTGTGAATGGATTCAGGGAAACGTGTTAGTCAGACTTGAGTCCTGGAAGTGGGAAGTACAATGCCTGCACTTTAAAGGAGGGGTTTGGGATATTGGCTGTTTGGAGGGATATCTAAACTGTCGTATCCTGGTGCCTCTGCAAAGACAGTGATTATGTATGAATGACGGTGAAAATGTTGAATGATGATGAAAGTTTTTTCTTTTCAGGTCACCCTGCCTCGGTGGGAAATGGGCGACATGTTAAAAAAATAAATTCATATTTAATAAAACATCTCATTGAGCATATATTTGTTTGTCCTGTGTATAATAAAAGTGGCTGCAAAATTGTGTTCAGTTTAAGAATAAATACATGTATACAGAAATGTACATTTTATTTTTAGGGATTAGGAGGACTTATTTTCTCTTTCACATCTTTCAGAAAATATTCCAGGGAACATAAGAACAGCCGATTACTTCATATCTTTTATGCGCCGCTTAATTAATTTTTTGAAAATGCGCTTGACTGTCACACATGCTGTCCAGGAATCACCAGCAGGCATGCTCAAGGATCTTAAAAACAGGGCTTTCATTGATCGCAAACCATTAAGGTAGTGTTTAATTAATTTTTGGTTTCAGAGAAATTAATATTCCACTGTAGTTTGTTTTGCTTTACAGTGGACCCTCAGTTATTGGCCGTTCCACTTATCGGCCAACTCGCTTATCAGCTGGCTTTTCGGCTTCTGGTTATCAGCCATTATTTCTCTTATCGGCTGTATGGGACGTGTCAACCCGTCATTGCCAGCCGCTCGCGTCAGTTTGGCTGTGTCTCTGGGCGAGTGAGGAAGCTTCTGATCATTCACCCAAACATTTCACTATAATTCGTTGTTTTTTGTGGTTATTGATTTGAGTGCAACTGCAAAATAAGCAACTATGGGCCCAAATAAAGTTCCTAGTAAAGTTACTTTGGTAAAAAAAGTGAGAAACATGATGGAATTTGAGAAAGAAGTTGTTGAAAAGTATGAGAGTGAAGGAGGAAGAGAGAGGGGATTCAGTGATTCAGTGATTTTATGATATGTACGATACTAAAGCAGCAGGAGTCAGTAAAGGCTATAGCGCCAGCCAGTGATAAAGTGTAGCATTAACAGTGTAGCAAGTAAGTTAAGCGATTAAGTGATAGAAAAAGACGACACAAAACTTATTATTTTTTTATTATCACACTGGCCGATTCCCACCAAGGCAGGGTGGCCCGAAAAAGAAAAACTTTCACCATCATTCACTCCATCACTGTCTTGCCAGAAGGGTGCTTTACACTACAGTTTTTAAACTGCAACATTAACACCCCTCCTTCAGAGTGCAGGCTCTGTACTTCCCATCTCCAGGACTCAAGTCCGGCCTGCCGGTTTCCCTGAATCCCTTCATAAATGTTACTTTGCTCACACTCCAACAGCACGTCAAGTATTAAAAACCATTTGTCTCCATTCACTCCTATCAAACACGCTCACGCATGCCTGCTGGAAGTCCAAGCCCCTCGCACACAAAACCTCCTTTACCCCCTCCCTCCAACCCTTCCTAGGCCGACCCCTACCCCGCCTTCCTTCCACTACAGACTGATACACTCTTGAAGTTATTCTGTTTCGCTCCATTCTCTCTACATGTCCGAACCACCTCAACAACCCTTCCTCAGCCCTCTGGACAACAGTTTTGGTAATCCCGCACCTCCTCCTAACTTCCAAACTACGAATTCTCTGCATTATATTCACACCACACATGTTGTTAGAGATATATAGGGCTACTGACAACACCGCCACCCTGCCTATCTTCTACCACCCTAAACCAATGCCAGCATCTCCTCCAAGGTACAGTAAGTGTAAATATTTCTTATTTATAAAGTGTAAATATTTCTTATACAGTGGACCCTTGGGTAAAGGCTTCATTGGCTAGCGCCAAAATTGGCTAATGGCTGGCTTTGGTGTAAAAATGTTGGCTCAACTAACACCAAATAACTCAGCTAAGAGCTTTCGTCCTGAACGTGTCTGCGTGGCCTGAGTGGGCCCGGCCACTCCAAAACTCCGTGTACAGCCAGTGTGCCATTGTTTACAAGCCAGGGAGGACGATTCCACACATACAAGCGATATATTTAGTATTATTCCATTGTTTTTAGTGCTTGTAACTGCTAAATAAGCCACCATGGGCTCAAAGAGAGCTTGTAGTACCCACCCTGTGATAAAGAAGGAAAGAAACACAAAAAAATTCAAGAAAAAACTCATCAATTACCAAAGGGGGGGAAGAGAGGGGGGAGAAGTGACTTCTGCAGTGATTCTACGATATGTACTACAAAAGCAGCAGGTATGAAAAAGCATAGTCCCAGGAGTGATAAAGTTGAAAAAAGTGTAGCAAGAAAGTTAAGCGATAAGTGAAAAAAAAAACGACATGAAAGTAAACCCCCAACTTGGGGATGTGTGTGGGGCCCCACGAACAAACGCCCCATGTATTTTTCCCCCACCCTAAACCTCTGCAGCATCTCCCCCAAATAATTAAACTAACATCTCCAAGGGAAGTTAATATAAAAGTGTAATATGAAAGTAAATATAAGTTAAATATAAAAGGCCCCCAAGGGAAATAGTAAGTGTCACGACTTTTTTGGGTTACCTAGGTACTTTACACATATCTGTTATGTAGATTTATTATGTAACTGTATTTTTTTTTTTTTGTGTTTTTTATTTCACACTGGCCAATTCCCCCAAAGGGCGGGGGTGGCCCAAAAAAAAAAAACTTCACCACATTCACTCATCACTGTTTTGCCAGAAGGGTGCTTTACCTCATTTTTAAAACTGCAACATTAACACCCCCCCCACTCCAGGACTCAAGCCCGGCCCTCCCGGTTTTTCCCTGAACCCCTTCTAAAAGTTACTTTGCCACACTTCCCAAAACACTCAAATATTAAAAACCCTTTTTTCTCCCTTCACTTCTACAAAACCTCACGATTCCTGTGGAAGTCCCCCCCCCCTCGCACACAAAACCCCTTTACCCCCCCTCCCCCCAACTTTCCACCGACCCCTACCCCGTTTCCTTCCACTACAGACTGATACACTCTTTAACATTCTGTTTCGCTCCATTCTCTCTACATGTCCAACCACCTCAACAACCCTTCCTCACCCCCTGGACAACAGTTTTGGTAAACCCCCCACCTCCTCTAAATTTCCCAAACTACGAAATTTTTTGCATTTTTTCACACCCCACATTGCTCTCAACATGACATCTCCACTGCCTCCAGTTCTCCTCGCTGCAACATTATCACCCCTGCTTCACACCTTTTAAGAGTGTTGGGAAAAATTATCTCCTACATTTTTCCTTTTGCCTCCAAGAACAAATTTTTTTGTCTCCACAGACCTAAGGCACCCCTCACCCCTTTTCCCCCCCTCAATTCAAAGATTCACCCACTTTCATGACCCCTTTCCCCTGACGCGTCCCCTCCCAAATATCGAATACATTACCTCTCCATACCCTCTCCCTAAAAACTGATACCAAACTTTTATCACCTAATCTTTTTGTTTTTCCTAAACCCTTCCTTTCCTGTTTTCACTTTTAATTTTCTTCTTTTGCATACCCTAAACCCAAAAACATCCACCCAAACTCTGCAACTTCTCTTTAAATCTCCAAAGAGCACAGTGTCATCAGCAAGAGCAACTGTGACAACTCCCACTTTTTGGGGATTCTTTATCTTTTAACTCCACGCCTCTTACCAAGACCCTCGCATTTACTTCTCTTACAAACCCCCTCTATAAATATAAATTTAAACAACCACGGTGACATCACACATCCTTGTCTAAGGCATACTTTTACTGGGAAATAATTTCCCTCTTTCCTACATACTCTAACTTGAGCCTCACTATCCTCGTAAAAACTCTTTACTGCTTTCAGTAACCTACCTCCTACACCATACACCTGCAACATCTGCCACATTGCCCCCCTATCCACCCTGTCATACGCCTTTTCCAAATCCATAAATGCTACACAAAGACCTCTTTAGCCTTATCTAAATACTGTTCACGTATGTGTTTCACTGTAAACACCTGGTCCACACACCCCCTACCTTTCCTAAAGCCTCCTTGTTCATCTGCTATCCTATTCTCCGTCTTACTCTTAATTCTTTCAATAATAACTCTACCATACACTTTACTAGGTACACTCAACAAACTTATCCCCCTATAATTTTTGCACTCTCTTTTGTCCCCTTTGCCTTTATACAAAGGAACTATGCATGCTCTCTGCCAATCCCTAGGTACCTTACCCTCTTCCATACATTTATTAAATAATTGCACCAACCACTCCAAAACTATATCCCCACCTGCTCTTAACATTTCTATCTTTATCCCATCAGTCCCGGCTGCCTTACCCCCTTTCATTTTACCTACTGCCTCACGAACTTCCCCCACACTCACAACTGGCTCTTCCTCACTCCTACAAGATGTTATTCCTCCTTGCCCTATACATGAAATCACAGCTTCCCTATCTTCATCAATATTTAACAATTCCTCAAAATATTCCCTCCATCTTCCCAATACCTCTAACTCTCCATTTAATAACTCTCCTCTCCTATTTTTAACTGACAAATCCATTTGTTCTCTAGACTTCCTTAACTTGTTAATCTCACTCCAAAACTTTTTCTTATTTTCAACAAAATTTGTTGATAACATCTCACCCACTCTCTCATTTGCTCTCTTTTTACATTGCTTCACCACTCTCTTAACCTCTCTCTTTTTCTCCATATACTCTTCCCTCCTTGCATCACTTCTACTTTGTAAAAACTTCTCATATGCTAACTTTTTCTCCCTTACTACTCTCTGTACATCATCATTCCACCAGTCGCTCCTCTTCCCTCCCGCACCCACCTTCCTGTAACCACAAACTTCTGCTGAACACTCCAACACTACATTTTTAAACCTACCCCATACCTCTTCGACCCCATTGCCTATGCTCTCATTAGCCCATCTATCCTCCAATAGCTGTTTATATCTTACCCTAACTGCCTCCTCTTTTAGTTTATAAACCTTCACCTCTCTCTTCCCTGATGCTTCTATTCTCCTTGTATCCCATCTACCTTTTACTCTCAGTGTAGCTACAACTAAAAAGTGATCTGATATATCTGTGGCCCCTCTATAAACATGTACATCCTGAAGTCTACTCAACAGTCTTTTATCTACCAATACATAATCCAACAAACTACTGTCATTTCGCCTTACATCATATCTTGTATACTTATTTATCCTCTTTTTCCTAAAATATGTATTACCTATAACTAAACCCCTTTCTATACAAAGTTCAATCAAAGGGCTCCCATTATCATTTACACCTGGCACCCCAAACTTACCTACCACACCCTCTCTAAAAGTTTCTCCTACTTTAGCATTCAGGTCCCCTACCACAATTACTCTCTCACTTGGTTCAAAGGCTCCTATACATTCACTTAACATCTCCCAAAATCTCTCTCTCTCCTCTACATTCCTCTCTTCTCCAGGTGCATACTCGCTTATTATGACCCACTTTTCGCATCCAACCTTTACTTTAATCCACATAATTCTTGAATTTACACATTCATATTCTCTTTTCTCCTTCCATAACTGATCCTTCAACATTACTGCTACCCCTTCCTTTGCTCTAACTCTTTCAGATACTCCAGATTTAATCCCATTTATTTCCCTCCACCGAAACTCCCCTACCCCCTTCAGCTTTGTTTCGCTTAGGGCCAGGACATCCAACTTCTTTTCATTCATAACATCAGCAATCATCTCTTTCTTGTCATCCGCACTACATCCGCGCACATTCAAGCATCCCAGTTTTATAAAGTTTTTGTTCTTCTCTTTTTTAGTAAACTGTATTTGTGTATACCTGAATAAACTTTCTTATTTATAAATTAAAATGTAAATATTTCTTATATATAAATTAAAATATAAATATTTCTTATTTATAAATTACATACATTGTTTAAGTGTGATAGTGGTGGCGGGTTCTGCTGGTGCCTCCACCACCACTATGTACCACTTCTCTCAGTGGCCCTTATAAACCCAACAACAACACTTACACCATTTACTCCTCTCATGCATTATCACATATTTTATTCATCTAGAGTATATATCATGTTTCTATTTTATTAATATTGTTTATAATGTCATATTAGATGAATTGTGATAGATAAATAAGCCATAGAGATGATATTAGCGTCATATTGAAGCATAATAAACTTGCCTTCCTCTTGCCTCCTATGTGTCTACCATACACCAACAAGTCAAGTCATTAAAAGTGTGATGTTAAATGTTCATTTATCCATTGTATTAGTGCTTTATATTTATTTCTCATTGTTTTCTGTATGCATATTTATATTTAATCTTTAAAAAAAAAATTTTTCATACTTTTGGCTGCCTGAAACGGGTTAATTGGATTTCCATTATTTCTTATTGGGAAAATTAATTCGGCTAAAGGCTTAATCGGCTAAAGGCTAGCGCTCTGGAATGGATTAACCCTTTAACTGTTTTGGTCGTATATATACGTCTTGCGAGCCACCGTTTTTGACGTATATATACACCAACAGACCCCTGGCAGTCTTCAAGCTGGCACTGGACAAGCACCTAAAGTCAGTTCCGGATCAGCCGGGCTGTGGCTCGTATGTTGGTTTGCGTGCAGCCAGCAGCAACAGCCTGGTTGATCAGGCTCTGATCCACCAGGAGGCCTGGTCTCAGACCGGGCCGCGGGGGCGTTGACCCCCGGAACTCTCTCCAGGTAAACTCCAGGTAACACTCATAAATTCTAGCGGCTTCAAATCAAGCAGGATGGCTGCCTGAAACGGGTTAATTGGATTTCCATTATTTCTTATTGGGAAAATTAATTCGGCTAAAGGCTAGCACTCTGGAATGGATTAACCCTTTAACTGTTTTGGTCGTATATATACGTCTTGCGAGCCACCGTTTTTGACGTATATATACACTCATAAATTCTAGCGGCTTCAAATCAAGCAGGAGAAAGCTGGTAGGCCCACATGTGAGGGAATGGGTCTGTGTGGTCAGTGTGCACCATATAAAAAAATCCTGCAGCATGCAGAGGATAATGAGAAAAAAAACTGACTTTTTTTTTTTTTTTAATTAAAATGCTGACTTTGTGGTCTATTTTCGTATAGTATTTATGGCTGTATTCTCGTTTTCTTGGTCTCATTTGATAGAATGGAAAACATAATATATTATAGAACTAGAGGTGATTTTGATTGGTTTTACTATGAAAAGAACCTTGAAATGGAGCTCAAAATAGGGGAAATGTTTGATTTTTGCCAATGTTCAAAAGTAAACAAATGTCATTTTCCAATAAATGTCCAAGTAGCCATTCTAATATGCAGTCTTGAATGGGTTGGCATTATTTATACAATTATTACAATATTGCAGTAGTCTACATAACAGTAAATCTTCTATTTTTTGTTTGAATAAAAATTCAAAATAGAAAGCAAGAGTAATATCAGAGGGGCCTGGAGACATGACTGATGAACAAAGAAAATGTTATTTTAGAGCCAGGAATGTCTGCATTGTTCATTCTGGACCCTATTTTGAAATTGTCATATTTTTTTAATTTTTGTGAAATTGCCCAAATTGCAAATTTATGACCACGGTATTGGGTAGTTGAAATCGGTAAATGGGCAGTTTCTTGTACTCAGAAATAGCTATGAGTTTGGTCAACTGAAACGATGGAATTAGCCGAAAATAGAGCTCAAAGTGGGCGAAATCGCTGATTTGTAAATATCTCCGAGGTCGCTAACTTCGCAAAAGCGTAATTCCATCACTTTTCCATCAAATTTTGTTCTTTTGGTGTCATTACAATCAGGAAAAGATTCTCTATCATTTCATAAGAAAAATTAATTTTTTGGGGGGGGGAAATATTGCAACACCAGGAGACACCTCAGGATTTGGGGGTGCGACAGTCAAGGGGTTAAACGTGTTACCCGAGGGTCCACTGTATATAAATTAAAGTGTAAATAATTCTTATTTATAAATTCTGTACATTGTTTGTGTGAATGGTGGTGGTAGCTCTGCTGCCGCCCACTACAAATAATATGTATGGCTTATGCTCTCAGTGGCCCTTATAAACCCAACAATAACAACAACAACAGCACCATCACTCGCCACATACACAGTGACATATGTTATTCATTCTAGAGTATATACAGGTACCATCCGACTTACGACCGAGTTCGGTTCCGACCAACCAGTCGTAAGTTGAAATGGACGTAAGTCGAACCTTACTACTGAATATCAACATCACATTTTTGTAATGACTTTATTTTATTGTTTTATTTTGGCAATTCATTTTTTACTTTACTTTTTATGCTGTTAGTACTGTATTTTATACTGTAAGGTTTAGGATAAACACTGTGTACAACACAAACAGTTGTTTATTTCCCAGAAATTTGGCATACAAAACACGGTCATAAGTCGAATGGTCGTATGTCGAGCAGGTCGTAAGTCGGATGGTAGGTGTATCATGTTTCTCTGTTATTAATATTGTTTATTATGTCATATTAGATGAATGTGGCTTATTTATCTATCACAAGAGTTGATAATAGCGTCATATTTAAGCCTCCCTCTCCGTTTTGCAGACTCCAACAAGACTCTTCAATAAAGGTAAAAGTGCTTTAAATGTTCATTTATCCATTTCATTAGTTATTTAATATAGTTCTCATTGTTTTCTGTATGTAAAACTATAGTTAATCTTTAAAAAAATTATTTTTTGTTAATATTTTTGGTGTCTAAAATGGATTAATTGGATTTACATTAATTTACATACATTATTTCGGTTATCAGCCATTTTGCTTTTAGGCTGACCTTCTGGAACAGATTATGGTCGATAACCGAGGGTCCACTGTATTTGGTAAAAATATCAAGTTGTTGTGCAAAGACTTTAGCAAATAATGTATTGCTAGTGTTAACACCAAGATTTATTGGTTACATACCCTGAGAAATTATCTTTCTTGTTGAACCCTGAAGTCGTCCTTCTTGTCGAATCCTGAATTAATCCTGCAGAACCTTGAAGTAATCATGTAGAACCCTGCTGTAATTCTGTAGCACTGAAATAATCCTGTAGAACACCAAATTAATCTGAAAAATCTGAAGTAATTTGTTAGAGCCTTGAAGTGATCCTATAAAATGTTTAAGTATTAATTAAAAATAATACAATTATTTGAAAGTACAGTACTGCATGTTCACTGCAAAATACAGTATAGCTATAAATATAAATTGTTTTCATTTAAGAGAGGATAGGCAAAATACTTTGTCTGGTGCTGGTGTTTTTTTTTTTAAATTCAGATATGTACAATAATGCAGATTATAATACTCTGAGTGTCTTACATATTCTTTTTTGTTTTTTATCTTTAGGTTCTGCTCTGAGCGTCTGTCTTCCATTATACGTTCCTTGGAGTTAATGGACATCAGTGACCTCTCACCTTTAATTGCCATTGCTCATTTTGCCACCTTAGTGTCCACTTACATGCAGGGTTTTGTAATAATTATTGAACCTTTTGAAGATAAAGCTCCAAATATTCCAAATCCAATTATGTATTTAAGGTAAGTCATTTTTGTAATGCTAAGTGAATTTCCTATTCTATAGAAATCTTACGTGCTAGTTTTGTAATTTGTGGTTCAAGACACATAAGCAATCATTTGTGACTTTTTAATATGGAAATGTTTCAGTCCTGGGACTTTGTTCACTCCAGACATATATGGGACATGAGAAACATGGGTTTATATAGGGAAAGGTGTTCGAGAATCATGTACCAGCGTGGCAGATATAGTATAACTTCTTGCTTTCTGCTGTCTTTATTACTGCTATCTGGCTCACTGATAGCTTACTAGGCTTAATTCCATTTCATTAAATGCCCCTCGGTGTCTATGCATCATGCAAGCATTATGTGTTCCTTGATCCTAATAGAGAGATTTCTACTGGGTAAGATGTGGTATAAAATACCAACAAATGCAAAATAAGACATGCACAATGTTATGAAATAACCATTTGTGGCTAAACATTTCCTTATTAAATTATCCTAATTCTGCATATGTGTCTTGTTTCATAGACCTTCACCAGTCTCCCCTATGTACCTTTTTGTTACAGCAGCTAGGCAAGAAAGTATAGACACCATTGATAGATATTAGGGAAGTTACAGTAGTCCACTTTCTGGTTCAATGTACAAGTTTAACATGGCCTTGTAATAAACATTTCCACTATATTTGTTTTCATTGCCCAGAGGAGGATGTAACTGTGTTAGTTAATGTTAAATGTATGACGTACATCTTCTAAACACTTGAAGACTGTAATGAAGTAATTAAATGTATGAATGCTATATTAGTTATTTAGAAATAGGACTACATTCACACTGCAGTGAATAATTTGTTCATATAATAGAATTTTTTTTTTCAATGAACCAGCTGTATCCCACTGAGGCAGGTTACCTAAAAAGAAAAATGAATGTTTCTCTTTTTAAATTTTGTAGCATATACAGGAGAAGGGGTTAAAATAATAATTATTATCATTTATGTACAGTACAGAGCTTGTCTTTCATAATGCTTATATGTAGTGAGTGTAATATTGCTTTTTAATATATTAAACTAATATTTTATTTTCAGATGCCTTGATTCTTCCATTGCTATCAAGCCAGTTTTCACAAAGTTTCAGACGGTTGTGATCACTTCTGGTACTCTTTCACCATTAGACATGTATCCTAAGATCTTAGATTTTCACCCAGTTGTTCAAAATTCATTCACTATGACACTAGCTCGGCCATGTATTCTCCCAATGGTGAGTATTTTACGTATGTTTTAGTAAAAATTGACAGGCAGTTTGATTAATTTTATTCTTGTACTTTTGTCTGTGTAAGCCTCCAGTTTAATTTTCATTGTCTAAATACAATGTCAGGCTTTAAATTGTACATTATGTTGAGTTTAAGGGAAGCACCCATCATTATTTTCTGGAGAAAATTAAAACTTTTTATTCTAAATCATTTTGTAAGGTAAAACTTAAACCAGTGACAATGTTATATATTTTTTATTTTTTATTAACACATTGGCTGTTTCCCACCAAGGCAGGGTGGCCCAAAAAAGAAAAACTTTTATTATTCACTCCATCACTGACTTGCCAGAGGGATGCCTACACTAAAGTTATAAAACTGCAACATTAACACCCCTCCTTCAAAGTGCAGACACTGTACTTCCCATCTCCAGGACTCAAGTCTGGCCTGCCAGTTTCCCTGAATCCCTTCATGAATATTACCTTTCTTACACTCCAACATACGTCAATCCTAAAAAACCATTTTGTCTCCATTCCCTCCTGTCTAACACGCTCACACAAGCTTGCTGGAAGTCCAAGCCCCTCACACACAAAACCTCCTTCACCCCCTCCCTCCAATGTTTCCTAGGCCGACCCCTACCCTGCCTTCCCTCCACTACAAATTTGTATACTCTCGAAGTCATTCTGTTTCATTCCATCCTCTCTACATATCCAAACCATCTCAATAACCCTTCCTCAGCCCTCTGGATAATAATTTTGGTAATCCCATACCTCCTCCTAATCTTCAAACTACGGAATCTCTGCATTATATTCACACCACGCATTGCCCTCAGACATGACATCTCCATTGCCTCCACCCTTCTCCTTGTTGCAATATTCACAACCCATGCCTCACCCATACAAGAGCGTTGGTATAACTATACTTTCATACATTCCCCTCTTTGCTTTCATGGATAAAGTTCTTTGTCTCCACAGACTCCTCAGTGCACCACTCACCTTTTTCCACTCATCAATTCTATGATTCACCTTCATAGACCTATCCTCTAACATGTCTACTCCCAAATATCTGAACACATTCACCTCCTCCATACTCTCTCCCTCCAATCTGAAATCCAGTCCTTCGGTTTTACCTAATTTTTTTGTTATCCTCATCGCCTTAACTCCATGCCAATATTCAACTTTTAACTTCCGTCTTTTACATATCTTACCAAATCATCAACCCACCTCTGCAACTTCTCTTCAGAACTCTCCTCCAAGCACAGTGTTCATCAGCAAAGACAACTTTGACAACTCCCCCTTTTGTGTTAGATTCTTTATCCTTTAACCCCACATTCTCTTGCTATCACCCGTGCATTCACTTCTCTTACTACTCCATCTGTAAATATACGAACAACCATGGTCCCCCACCCCTGTAAGGCCTATTTTCGGGGAAATAATCCTCCTCTTCTAATACTTAACCGACCCCCACTCCCCTCGAAAAAACTTTTCATTGCCTTCAAAAAACCTAAACCTCCTATTTTACTTTTACAACATCTCCACATTTTCCCCCTATCCCCCCCATCATCTGCCCTTTCCCAAACCCATAAATGCCAAAAAAAAACCTCTTTTCCCCCCCCTTATCCAAATATGTTCCCCATGTTTTTCACTGCAAAAACTTGGCCCTAAAAACACCCCCCTACCCTTTTTTGAAAAGCCTCCTTGTTCTTTTGGCTATCCTGCTCTCCATCTTCTCATAAAATTCTATAAATGATAACTCCCCATACACTTTACCAGGTATACTAAACAGACTTCTTTTTTCTTTCTTTCAACACCCCGGGCTGTACCCCACCAAGGCAGGTGGCCCAAAAAGAAAAACAAAATTTCTCTTAAATTTTAGTAATTTTATACGGGGAAGGGGTTTAGCCCCTTGCTCCCGGCTTTTTTAGTCCCTCTTTAACAGCATGGCTTACGGGGGAAAAGAATTTGTTCCATTCCCCCAGGAGACTCAACAACTTTTCCCCTATAATTTTTACCCCCTTTTTTGTCCTTTTTGGCTTTATAAAGGGGGAAAACTATACACTCTCTCCCAACCCCTAGGTACCTTCCCCCTTTCCCATAAGTTTTTAAAAAATGCTAACCACTCAAACTATACCTCACCTGCTTTTAACATTTCTATTTTTATCCCATCAACCCAGGTTTTCCCCCCCTTTCATTCTGCTCACTGCCCTATGACTTTCCCCCCACGCCACAACGGTTTCTTCCCTCTCTCCTATAAGATGTTATTCCCCCTTCCCCTATACAACAAAATCACAGCTTCCCTATTTTCATCAATTTTTAAAACAATTCCTCAAAATTCCCACCATCTTCCCGAAACCTCTAACTCTCCGTTTAAAAACCTCCTCTCCTATTTTAAACTAACAAATCCTTTTTTTTCCTGGCTTTCTAACTTATTAACTCACCCCAAAACTTTTTTCTTATTTTCAAAAAAAATTTGTTGATATTACTCACCCATTTTCTCATTTCTCTTTTTTACATTGTTTTCCCACTTTTTAAAACCTCTCTTTTTCTCCCCCAATACTCCCCCCCCTTGCTCATTTCTATTTGAAAAAACCTTTATATCTAACTTTTCCTCTCTTACTACTCTTTTTTTAATTCATTCCCCAGTCACTCTTCTTCCCTCCTGCACCATTCCTGTAACCAAAAAATTTCTGCTGAACACCTAAACTATTTCTTAAACTTCCTATAATCATCTACCCCATTGCCTTATTCTCCTACCCCCAATGTCCCCAACAGTTTTTTATATCTTACCCTAACTGCCTCCTCCTTTAGTTTATAAACCTTCATTTCTCTTTTACTTGCTGCTTCCATTTTCCTTGTATCCCATCTACCTTTACTCTCACTGTAATGCCTTAAAAAATAGAACAAATACAATACAAGAGATGATTTAAGGATTTTTCCTTTAAAATTTTTTGAACTTAAGTCCTAACTATTTTAAACCTAATTTTGTATGTACCTAACTGGGAATATTCCTAATTAAGAACTGATTAATATGTTCAAATGTACTGCTCAAATATGACCTGTATCAAAATAGCATAAGAATTAGTATTATTTGCCTGAAATGCCTAGGCCCAAGTGGCCATCTTTTTTAACGAAATTTATAAAATGTAAACCCCACTTGTAAGCTTTCCCAAAAAATAAAAAATTTGCATGTATTTTTATTTGTATTTGAGGGGGAAGTACAGTGTCATATCTGCACACCTCTGGCAAGTCAGTGATAGTGTAGATGATGGTGAAAGTTTTTTTTTGGGTCACCCTGCCTTGGTAGGAGATGGGCCCCATTTAAAAAAACTTACTTTTATTATTTAAACCCTTTTAGGGGTTTTTGGGCGTACTAGTGTCTTCGGTGGGTTTTTGACTACAGTACGCATAAATTTTACGGCCCCAAATCTAGTGGAAAGCTGGAGGCCTTTATATAAAAAGGGGCTATGTGGTCATGTGCACACAAAAAAAAAATCCCGAGCACACAGTGCAAATGAAAAAAAAAAAACTTTGACCTTTTTTTGGAATAAATCCGAATTTTGCAGTGTATTTTTTGTTTGGTATTTTTTTGTATTCTAGTTTTCTTGGTCCTTTTATAGAATGGAAGCATATTTACAGAAATTGAATGTTTTGACTTTTTTACAATGAAAGGTCCCCCCCCCTTAAAAAAATTTTAGCTCCAAGTAGCAAAATGTTTGATTTTACCAAACTTCAAAAGTAAACAAATCGTGCCAAGCGTGCAATACACGTCAAAGGGGGGCTAATATTCTTTCACAATTTCACCAAAAATATTTATTACCCTTTTTTACATAAAGCAGTAGTCGTAACAGTAAATCTTAATTTTTTGGAAAAAAAAAATTAAAGGGAAAGCAAAAGAATATAAAGGGGCCTTTAGACGTGACTAATGACTAGAGGAAATGCATTTAGTGCCAGGAAAGTCTTTCTTGTTTATTCTGGACCCTATTCGGAAAATTGGCCCTTTTTGAAAAATTTTTGGAAATTGGCAAAATTGCTAAAATTTGACCACTGTACTGGTAGTTGAATTTCATAAAAGGGTGGTTTTTTTGCCCCATTCGAAAAAAAAAATGGGGTTCTAGCGAAATATTCATTTTTTTGTCGACAAAACAGTGAAAAATTGGCCGAAAATGGGGTCAAAATGGGCAAAACGCCGATTTAAACATCGCCGAACCACTAACTTTGCGAGAGCATAATTCGTAAGTTTTTTTATCAAATTTTAAAAATTTTTGGGGTCTTTTGATCGGGAAAAGATTCTCTATCTTTTATAAGAGAAAATAATTTTTTTTTTTTTTTTTTTTTTTTTTTTAAATTTGGGGAACCCTGGAACGAGTTTTGGAAAAGGGCCTGTCACCCCCCAAAGGGTTTTAATGGCTTTGGAGGATTTGTTTTTGGTATCTTTAATGTTTAATGCTTCTAAACTGTTGTGTTCTGAGCACCTCTATAAAAACAGTGATAATGTGTGAGTGTGGTGAAAGTGTTGAATGATAATGAAAGTATTTGCTTTTTGGGGGTTTTCTTTCTTTTTTGGGTCAACCCCCCGCCTCGGTGGGAGCGGCCCCCGACTTGTTGAAAAAAAAAAAAAAAACCTTTAGAGTTCTCCATAGGGAAGCAGAAAAGAATTCTTCCTCCATAAACCATGCCTGTCATAAGAGGCAATTAAAATGTCAGGAGCAAGGGCTGGTAACCCCTTGTCCTGTATAAATTACCAAATTTAAAAAGATAAGTTTTTCTTTTTCTTTTTATGTCACCCTGCCTTAGTGCAATACAGCCGGTTCATTGAAAAAAAAAATTATGTAGAGTTATTATTGAAAGAATTAAGAGTAAGACAGAGAGCAGGATTGCAGATGACCAAGGAGGATTTAAAAATGGTAGGGGATATGTAGATTAAGAGTTTACATTGGAGCATATAAGCGAACCATATTTAGATAAGGGTAAGGAAGTTTTCATTGCATTTATGGATTTGGAAAAGGCATATG